AATTCAGTAAATTTTATGGTTTTGTCAGTCAATTCAGACATGTCGGTTGATATGCTTACCAAAAATTGCAGTGTTACTGAGTTATGCTATTGAACAGTCATTTACCCCCCAGTTTTTCAGATTTTGATGCTATTTGAGACTTTAAAGTGAGTTACTTGATGAAATTATCTAACTAACTTGACTTGCCTCTTAAGTGCATCAGAATTTCATTTCTTCATATGTTTTTTTTTGTTCTAGCTTTGTCCAGCTGGTCCCACCTGGTTAAAAGACAGCAAGTGCGATTCTATTTCTTGCTTGTGCACAGAATCATTGGTTAAGTTTGCAAGCTTTGCACCCCCTGAAAGCTGTTGAAGCATGCATGCCATCAATGAGGGTATGATTTATACACTTAAGACTACCAGAATTAAGGTGACTTAAGCCTTGAGGCTGCCTATTAATGAGGGTGATTATGATGCAACTTAAAAAAAAAAAAAGAAAACAAAAAGAAAGAAGTCCTGCTGAGTAAGGCTTGGCCCACCAAGAGGGTTAACCTGAGCCTTATGTTCTGGACACTGTGGGCAGTGTGTTTTCCTGCTGCTAGGTGAGACCTGTGGGTATGCTGACGGTAGGCTGAGGTGAAGTTATTTCACAAAAGCTTGTGCTGAAGCTCGCAAGGAAGGGAAAAGCAAGGAAGCTCTTTCAATCTTGTGTATTTTAGTGCTTTCAGTATATGTGAGCAGTAGCTCTTAGCATAAATCTTGCTTGATCTCCTCTGACACAAATACTATTGCAAGAGCTCACCAGTTAAGATGACAGATATTAAGTGTGGTTGTTTTGGACAGATGAGGAAACCTGCATTTGTGATGAAGGTTTCAGGCCATAGGAGTGGGAAGCAAATACAGCAGCTGAGGAGGACAGGGAAAGGACAGCATCTTCAGAAAGGTGCAAAGCAAATGGATGAACATGGTGTTTGTGGGGTGGAAAGGGTTCCTGGCTCACCTCTGCCCAGGGTGTGTGCCATGTGCTCTGCCATAAATAAACCAGGGCTCGTTTTTTGTGTGTTGCAGAGACAGGCTCAGCACGTATTAGAAAACACTGCCTGGTTCCAAGCTGTGCATGTAATGTGCTTGCTGCCTGGCCTGGTGTCAAGCTAAACAGAGCAGACATTGCTAAGCAGGTTTTGGCTTTTTCTGTGAGTTTGTTATTTTGTTGTTGTTGGTTTTGTTTATTTCCCAATGGAGACACTATTTTGGATTTCTCGACATAACTGTTCCTTCCTCCCCTGCACTCCTTGGTCTTTCAAGAGCTTCAACTCAGGAGCTGTTGGTTGGTCACTGGGGTCAGAATTTCTCTGAGGAAAGAGAGTTTCACAGAGTTTGTCCAGGCAAGCACTGAGAGAGGGAGAGCGTGGCTTAGAGCACAGAGCTGGAGTGAACATGAGACTGAGAAATGGGAGCAAATGAAGTTCTCATTCTGTGTTTCTGTTCAGTTCAGGAAGAGAACTTTGCTTGCATGCATTATAAATAAATTTGATAGCTTTTCCTGCTATTATCTGCGGTGTTGGGACCTGAAGATTGATGAGCTATTTAGGTTGCATAGACAAAGTATTGGAATAAGACTTGAGAACTTCAAATTCTGTTCCTGGATCTGTTCATAGCTTGTCTGTGACTCTCAGGAACTTACTTTATCTCTCTGGGCCTAATCAACCCTGACATTCACTTTTCAAAAGAACTTGAAGAATGACTAACAAAAGCCAAGTTGTAGATGGCAGGTATGACTGTTTCTGTTGTGTTCTTTCCCTGTATTTTCTTCCCACTCCTATAGTCTAAAAATACCATTAGAAAAGGAGATTTTCTGAGCTGACCGAACATCTGCCATCTCTACCTGTGAGCTCTTGGGACACTGTCAGATAATAAAGAGCAACTTGCATGGAGAGGTACTGCTCACATCTAAGGAAGATACTGGAAGAAGGAAAACTGAATTTCCCCAAAACAACCTCCTTGCAAAAAGGTTCTCTGTAAACACCTGCCTCTACCTGCTTAATCTCACCATTCCTTTGTTTGTATTTTGGTCCTTAATTCACAATTTGTGCACATTAACTGAGTTAATTTAAATACTATCACTCTGCATTACAATGAATTGTAATAACCATCACTTTCTCTTCCTGCTAGTAATACCTAATCCAGACATCCCAAAGTAAAAACAGTTGGTATATGTAATCTTAGAGAGATTTATCATTAAAGGCTGATTGTTAATTTATTAATTTTCATTTCATTTTCTGAGGGTGTAGCAGATTGAGTCAGTGCATCACTGGCATGCAGGGAGAGCGGGATTACTAAAAGCAAGAGCCCTAGATATTAGGAAGGAAAGTGACTGTTGTAAACATTCCTCATGTTGTTTTTCCATTGTTTTTGTTGTTGCTGTCTTTCATTTGGGCTGTTTGTTTGGTTTGGTTTGGTTTTGTAGTGCAGTGCTACTTAAATGAAAGCAATGCTGACCTTCCACAGGTGCTGTGCCACTGTACGTCCTGACGGTGTGAGAGCTACAAAGGCCTGGTGCCCTTTCAGTCTCACTGGTTTGTGCAGTGCTGTAGAATCTTGGCAGTGCTCTGCAGTCAGCTGCAGAGGAACTGAAGAGAGACGAGAATTTCATAGGCTAAACCATAGTACAAGTCATTTACCCTTCTCTCACTAAAGTGTCAGGAAGAAGTAATGGATATTGTGCAGACAGTCTTAATTATGGCATTTCCTAATGTTTGAGTATTTTCAGCTTCAGCATTCTTTTTGACAGTTTTTCAGAGTGAGGTCTAGTAGCCTGTTGGCTACTTCTTGCACTTGGAATGTCAAAAGTTGTGGACATAACAGAAAATTCAAAGTAAGGCTTGTTTGGATGACTTTCCCAGGGAGACCAGCCTAGGGAGACCTCCTTGCTTGCAGGACAGTGTGGCTATTGCAAATATATACTGTCCTGACTGATTCCTGAGCACTGGAAGAAACTTCTGGAGTCCAACCCAGATTAATTCTTGTGTGAGGAAAGAATTTTTTTTCTCCAGAGAAATATTCTTGCCTTTCTCAACATGGGTAGAGAGAAGGTACCTTGAATGCTACTGAAGAACTTCAATGAATGAATACAATGTGAAAACATCTTTCCAAATGTGCCTTATGTCCTTTCTGCCAGCTAGTAAATAACACCAATGGATTGTGCAAGTGGAGTTGCAAAGATGGGTTGAGGTTTTTTTAGGCAGCAAATCTTGAGAGAGAATGACAGCCCTCAGGGACAGCTCTGCTCTGAGGAGGAACAACAGCCTTGGAGGAAGTGCAGGGCAAGATAGCAGGGAGTGTGGTGGAGGCAGCAATTGAGAGCATTAATTGCCCTTTCATGTCCTTTCTGCAGGGCTATGTATATTTTTGGGCAAGGAGTGGGTACACAAGGAGATCTTTATCTCATGCAGCCTTTTGCAGGGATTTAGCTTCATTCTGCCTGATGGAGTTAGAGAAGCTCTCCTTTGGGGAGCACTGTGCAGCCCCATTCCTATAAGGTCTGTTCTTCATGAGGCAGCTTGATACCAACACCCCAAACAGCAAGTTCCACGTGCTGCACTCTAGAAATCTACTAAAAACTGCTCCTGTTTGCAGGGTTCTTTTTGTGTGTGTATGTGTTGAGGAAGTCTTTGTATGTGCTGCTTCAGGTACTGTGAATTCAAAATAAAGCAAAGATTTACAGGCTCTGGCATTAATTGTGGCTGAGCAGGACTCCTGCTACTGAGAGAAGGCAGAAGCAAATGCATAAAACCTCATAGTGGACAAGAACTCAGTCCCAACAGGGACTTTGAAAACCTTGGCTGCTGAGGGAGGCATCCATCTCTAGACCTGGTATGAAAAAGAGCTGTCAGTCTGTGCTTCTGAACAAGCAACAGGACTCTTTCATCCAGGGGTATGGTGATCCCTGAAAAGCATTGGCCTGTGCTCCCTGCCCTCCTGTACTCTGTGTGAGGAGACAGTGTACTGCTTCTGGCAGAATTTGAGCAGACCGAAAGTAAAGGCTCTTGTGTTCCCAGAGGAGTGCAGTGGGACTGCCTCACTGGGCTGCTGCTGCCAGTGAAGTCATTGGCACAAGGTAAAGCGCAGCCCATCAGGTTGCAGAACACATCCCTGTGCTGTTCTGAAGACCTATATCGCTGGCAGTGCTATCTCACCAGGGCCTTTCCACATGTAAAATGAGAAAAAGCAAGTGCACTTGTTCTCCTGGGATTCTTACAGACCCCCGAGACTGCACACAGCAACCTCCCCTCTCCTAGCACATCAGAAACCTGCCAGGCCCTGAGCAACCACTGTTGGGAACCGTTGCTCCAAACACACAGCTGAGGGGGAATGTGCTGTGAGGCAGCTCCTGGGACCTAACAGTGATGAGCTGGGGTACGAGTTCTGTTACGCTTTTTGTCAATAGCGTTAATTATGTTTGATCCTTCACTGTTCTCTTTGCAGTTCATCTGTATTGTTTACTGTGAAAACTCAGATTACAATACCTCATTGCTCTTGGTTCCCAAGTCTGCATTGGCACCCACTCTTGCACAAGGCTACTGACTGCTTGCTTTTGCCCCTCCCCCAAAAATGCTACCTGGTGAGTGCTCCTGTTCTTGTCTGTAGCTGTCTGACAGCTGCAGCTTTGTACCTGAGCTCTTGGTGTGCACATAATCAGTGTTTTGAGTGACATCTTCCATCAAACTGATTGATTGCTCAAAGGGATGTTTCTGGCTGAGGTTTCTGCCTTCTAGCCTCTACTGGATCTTAAAGTCATGGTAGCTATTAGCATATTGCAGCACAGTGATGTATTAAATACACTCAAGAATGGGAAGACTTCTCATTTTCTTGGATCAGGAAGAGTAGTAAGAAAGAAGGGAGGTGAAAAATTCAGAAAGCTTCATTTTGCTAGGGAAGACTTAAGAAGAACAATACAGAGTCATTTCAACAGACAGATTCATAGCAGCTTTCTTAGTGATAAGAGTTTGGAGGTGTGAAATGATGATAAGTGTCATTCTCATATCCCTGTTTTTGTTTCTTCTGAGTGCACAGTTCCTGATTTTGCAATGGAAGAGTCGTGGTTTTCCTCCTGGACCGACCCCATTTCCCATCATTGGAAGCACGTGGTGGATAAAGTTTAGAGCTGATCATGGGAGCCTGAGAAAGGTATGTGTATAGATGTGACCTAAAGAGCTATTGAGGCAAAACCCATAAAAAAGTGGTGGTGGCTGTTGATGGACTGCTGTGGTAGCAGGGAGAACTTAATCCTGAGAGAGGATAGCTTGTGGAAGTTAAATTAGGTGTCTAAACCAGTTAAGTAAAATCTGCAGACAGTGTGATTCATATGAAAGCTGGTACATATGTAACTTAAACAGAACTGAAGACAGCAGATTTGCTTCAAAAAAGACTTCTGTTTTTAAGGGAGTGTTTGGCCTTGAAAGAAAAAAGTGATTCTCAGATTTCGGACCACAGGCACGTATTGAAAATCTTTTAAAACAAGGTGTCTTGAATTCAGAAGATGTGAAAAGGACACCAGGATGTCTTCTGCTGTCATGGAATGGAGATAAGATTGTATTCTGTATGCAGCCAAATCCTTTGCTCTGTTGTTTCTCTGGAGCCCAGTCTGGGATGTGCTCCTTGCAGACAAGCTAAGGGTGTAAATGATGGTGAAAGGAAAGACCTAATGGGAAGAATTAGATCCATCTAAGCATGTTAATACAGATGCTTTCGGTTTTCAACATCCACCACTGAGCCAAAACATCACAAAAGAATCCAGTGTGTTGATATATTTTTCAAGTTGCGACCTTTCCTTATGTGCTAAGGGCAGCCTGGAGGTCAGGGGGTTGCCTGGCTGCAGCTGGAGAAGGCTGGCTTCAGGAAAAGAGAACTTAAAAGGTCTTAATTGAGGTCCTAATTTTTCTGATGGGTACATGTTCATTACTGTGAGAGGATAGAGCTGTACTGTTTCTTTGTCTAGAGTCAGGGATTTTGTCCTTTCAGAATACCCACAGCACTGCCTGAGAGCAGCCCCCATCACTACCCAGAGGTGGGATCTATGCTCAGATGCCTCAGTTGGTGGCAGTGTATAAGAGGGAAAGAGTTCCTGCCACTGAAACTTGAAATCTGCAGTACTAGAAGGAGAGTTACACCTGGAATACATAATTTCAAGAAGTTCTGGTTGTTGCCTGAGTTGAAAATTGTAATGAAGAAAGGGCAGGTGAAATTTCACATGAAAGCTCATATAGGTACTCAGAGGCATTTACCTAATGGTTACTATTGCAAGGGCAATCCAGGGCAAGTGTTAAAAAGGGGAAGAGGGTTTATTCTTTCACTGCTCCCATTTCTGTAAATTGTGTGTTCCCAGAAAGAGCCCAGAGCCTTTTTGGTAGGCACCCCCACTGCAAAACACAACCACTGTCCCTTTTCATCTCCTGAACTCCTGAGTAACGTCATGCTGGAAGAGAGCAGCCTACCATGTGTGCATGCTGGCTGATGTTTCTGCCATGGGTATTTTTTTGGCATTGATCTAACCTGCAGCTGGCAAAAACCTATGGCAACATCTGCACCCTGTGGTTGGGTCACAGACCTATGGTGGTGCTCTATGGGTTCCAAGCTGTGAAGAACGGTCTCACCACCAACTCAGAGGATGTTTCCGGGCGACTACAGACCTATGTCTTCAACAGATTTGCAAATGGAAAGGGTAAGATGTTCATGTCTGGGGCAGGACTTCATCCTTGACTTTCTTTGCTTCCTCTCATGTTTTTCTTACTGGAAGTTCCCAGTTGACTTATTCTGTCTGCTCAAGGTGAATCATATAATTCTGTAGCATTACCCTAAGTGGTCTCCAAAGTCCCACTGTCACATATGTGTTTCAGAATCTCACCAAAGCAGCAATATTTATATGTAGCTAGGTCTTATTTGTTAATTCTTAGTGTTGTCTGCATGTCCCAGTTTGAAATAATTCTGAGCTTGCAACCTCCTTTGCAAGATGAGTCTCAAGTAATTCTTTACGCTCCCAGCTGTTTGTTTAGAGCAAAGGTTGCTGTAGGAAAGGATGTGCAGTGCTGTGAATAAGATCTAGCCTTGTTCCGAAGTACAAAAGTCACAGGAAGATGATTGGGGATTTAAATGTATTAGCCAGAGTGTAGGTGCAACGTATCGTTGTTCAGAGCTTCTTATTGTGCCATCAGAGACACTGCTGAAATGTGGTGGATGGAGAATAAAGGCAGTTCTGTGTTTAAAACAGAAATAATTGAACTTACTTCCATCCAGAAGTATATAGAGCACATGCTTTTATCCTCAGTCAGGATTTCTTGCATGTTATTTACAATCTGGAAACATTTAAGTTATAGTACGAGCTAATAAAAGTAGAGAAAAACATCTTTAAGGAATAGAGATTATTAAGTATTAAGTCTGGAGCCATTTGGAAGGATCTGTATTGACACTTTTTATCTGGGTGCTGTGGAGAAAAGTAGCTGAACTCTGGTCCCAGGAAGCAGTTTGCAGACTGGCTAAAGCCTGTTCTTCCTTCTCTGGTTTTTGCTGGGTGGTTCTTTCCTTGGATTCGCTGTCTTTCCAGGAGGGACCTGGACCAGGGCAACAGCTCAGTATGTGATGTAAACAGCCTGGTAGAAGCAGGATCCCTAAAAGCCAGAGACTTTGTAGCATAGATAGTGTGAGCTCAGAACCAATTATCCACTCTATTCACTAAAGGCTTTTTATTTTGGAGCGTAAGCAACAGGGAGATGTGATGATATCCAGACGTTTTGCGTAAGGCTGAGTAGCTCAAGCACAGGAAATGCCCAGACCTCCCCACTAACCTCCACAGAAATCTCTCTGTTGGCTGTGAGTAGCTTGATCAGAGATACCACCAGGTTTCCAAGTGGAAGAAACCTGAACTTACTTTTGGTTGAGGAAAACTGCATTTACCATTCCTGCAGAGTTAACATGTGGCAACATCTGTAAGGACGCAGTGTTCACTCGGGGATGTTGGCAAGCACAGCTTACAAGTATTAATCGTATTAGAAGATTGTACAAGAGAATAAATGAGGTCTTGTAAGAGATTGCATGAACTGGGCTACAAACCTTTCTATACTGATAAAGGGAATGATTAAATTTTTCCAAAGCCTGTGCAAATAAGGCAACAATCAACCCACATCATTGCAGCTTTCAGCAGGCTGCTGGGTGGAGGTTTGAGCAATGACTGCTGTTCTTGGATGCTTCAGGAAGAACAGGACTAGGTTTGGAAAGCAGATGGGTGAGGCCAGATACCTGAGTGGGTTTTTTGCAGGGCTGGGAACATCTTAACCAAGTTGTTTACTCTGCCTCTAATAACATACAATTAAAAGAACACTGCTCTGATGTGACTCTCCTCTTTGAGTGGCAGCATGATGAGAAGGTGATTCTTATGGTGCTTATCATTTACAATTATATGAATGCTAACGTGACATAAAATTGGTTCTTGTTGGTTGAAGGTATCTTGGTCTCAAATGGTCTCATCTGGAAACAACAGAGGCATTTTGGAATTGGAGCTCTCCGAAAACTGGGAATGGGGAATAAAGGAATGGAGCGCGGGATACAAACTGAGGCCCATTACCTGGTCGAGTTCTTCAGAGACAAAGATGGTATGGCTTTGGCACAGTGCTTGGGAACTGACACGTTGTCTTCAGGACTCTGAGGGTGAAGATACTTTTTGTTCCAGAATAGAGTGGGTTTGGGCACATCTTAGATTTAGAGTGCAATCAAAACTGTTTGACTCTCAGACCTCAGCAATATGTACTTTTGCGATCAACACCAAGACTGAGATTATTCAAAAAAAAAAAAAAAAAAAAAAAGAGAAAGAAAAGAAGGAAAGCAAACAAAACCCCTCTAACACTGGGAGTTAAAGATTTGGTGCCTTGCCATCCTTATTTTTGAGTGAGGTTTATCTTTTGTTACATTTACCAGTGAATTTTATGTTTGTGAGTAACAGTCTAAATGTCATAGAGGACATCTATTATAAAATGTCATGGTGATCTTGTTTCCCAAATAGCAAAGGAGGTAAAGGAAGTGCTTTGGAGATGAATGCTTTTCTCTGTCTACAGGAAAAGCTGTTGACCCTTCCTTCCCCATTGTCCATGCTGTCTCTAATGTGATCTGTGCTGTGGTTTTTGGACATCGCTTCTCCCTAGAGGATGAAACCTTCCGTCAGCTGATTGAAGCATACAATTCTATTGTGGCTTTTGGGAACAGCCGCATTTATTATGTGAGAAAATTACTTATTTAATATGCAAATTGCATATCAAGCACATTATTTATTGCAATATAATTATATAATGATAGCTATGATGATAGTTATTGCATTATTTAATGCTGATAAAATCTTTGACTGTGAATATCAACTGGACTTGCAGTGCTTTGGGTTTGACATAATTCAATTATGAATATTATATGAATAATCTTTATTAGAATGTCCCAGCAAAGGCACTGTACTTGGGATACTGAACTTTTCTGTAATAAAAACACCAAGATTGTTAACGTGAAGAGGTGATACACTTTGTGTGAGAATGAAAGAGACTGAATTTTTTTTTCCTGTGTGCTAAGGTAATAGAGATAAATGTTTATTAATATGAGATTTATTAATCATAATACTTTACATCTATCTGAAAAAGCAGATTATTATGTTGGTGAGTTAACAGGGCAAATATAAGTGGAGTTATGCAGTAAGGATAGGAAAGACTCCAGGGTGGAAACTGTGCTCTCTTTGATTTGGGGTTTTAGTGTGTGTTCATGTACCCCACATGTACCAAACATTTCTCTTTGATGATACGGCATTTTCCCCAGAGAAAATATTTCAGCAATTTACATAAAAAATGTCCACACTGTATCTGTATCACAAGTCTTCTCATACGGTTTTCACTTATTGTCTCTATGTTGAATGCTTGCTCCACAGATGTGTGAACTTTTCCCCTGGGCTGCAGAACATCTCTCAGGATCTCTACAGAAAGCAAAATTTTCACGGGATTTTGTCCATTCCTTTGTAAGGCAGGAAATAAAAAGCCACAGGGAAAAAGGCAGAACAGGTGAACCAGAAGATTTCATTGACTTTTACCTGGATCATATAGAGAAAGTGAGTAATTCATGCTGTATGTGATGCAGATCCAGACATAAAGGGTTCTCTGTCCCTTCCCTGCAGTTGTCAGTACACACCAGCATTAGTACAGAGCTCTACAACTACAGCTTAAAAGCTCTGCTGTCAAATTCAGAATATGACCTTCGAATAGTTTGTTCAATAACTTGTTCTAGTAGCACATATTATTTTTCATTGGCTTGTTTTCATCCTGTGGAGTCCTTAGTGAGGGCTGGGCAGTGGATGGTAGGGAGGACCTTGGAAAGGTAGAGGTATTTAGAGGCCTGCCTAATTCTGATTCTTTGTGCCTTATTGATATTTGCTTTTATTACTTTTTGGGCTTAGTAGTACTGTATGATTATCAGAACAATCTTAAAATGATGTCAGTCTCTACTCTGAAACCAAGTATGAATATTTTGAAAGGATAACATATATATTATACTTAAAATGTGTTTTTCTGCTGTGGAAGAAAACAAAAGGCAGCATAACAGTATCAGGGTACTTATCTGAGGAAAGTCTTTGCCTATACCTGTGTTCTGCTCAGGTACCTGTATTTTTTCTCTGCCCTACAGAAATATTGTTCCTATAGATATAGTGATTGCTGTCTGTCTCAGTGCTAACTGTTACACAGGTGTACCCCATTTTACATTTCTCCTTGACACCTGTAGACTAAAAATATCCCCAATTCTACATTTGATGAAGACAACATGGTGCAGTCTGTTTTTGACCTTTTCTTCGGTGGCTCAGAGACCACGGCCACCACTCTGCGCTGGGCTCTGCTTTATATGTTGGCTTATCCTGACATCCAAGGTAAGTTGAAGACACAAACATGGGTATGATTCAAGTTGAATAATTATCTGTTTTCTTTTTTTTCTTTTTTTTTTGGCTAGATCAAGTTTTTCTTAAGATCAAGTTTTTCTTTTCTTTTTTTTTTTGCGTTGTTAAGGTTTACTTTTAATTAGCTAGTGTCGCAAAATAATTTCAGAGATATATTTTAAAATAATTTCAGGGATATTCAGCTTCTGATAGTGAATTTTGTCTTGCTGATTTTTGTCAGATTGTTTCAGTACTGTAAGCATATTTTTTTTCATTCTTTTGGTGTTAGAATGCTGAAAGAACAGAACCCTGTGCACACATACACCTTTCAAATGCTGATAAAATAAAAAGGAAAAACCCTCTTAGCTTACTAGTGTAAGTTTTAGGTATGAAATATGACCCTAAACCTTCTGAGACTCTATAAGCTGTGTTAGTTACTGACGCTGACATAACAGCCCAAAGAGATTAACAATTGGTGGTGGTGTTGTAATATCTTCCTGTTTCAGTTCTCAGCATTACGTGTGTGTATCAGTTTGTTGTGATGGCTTCCTTGCAACACCCTCACTGGTGTGCTGTGAGTCTGTATTTACCTAGAGTAAAAATAACAGCTTAACTGAATTGATCTCTTCATAAGAAGTTTTTGTTTGAGCTAAAGTTTGCTCCCCTTCTTTTAAATATAAAGCTCAATAAATCTCTTGGGTCTGAACATAGAACCTATCAACTAGGAAATAGAGTGTAGTAAAATCATAACTAGATAGATATAAAAACATATTTAGAGTTTAAGATACCATTAGTATAAATTATTTATATGTTGTAATTTTTTCTATCACTACTATAATCCAAAAAGGAAATGAAAGCTCTGTTTCAAGCTAGATAGTGTTCTTATATCTATAACAGATTTTTTTTCCTTTTCAGAAAAAGTTCAGAAGGAGTTGGATGCTGTTCTGAGTCCCTCCCATCTCATCTGCTATGAGGATCGGAAGAAGCTGCCGTATACAAATGCTGTGATTCATGAGATCTTACGCTTCAGTAGCATTGTTTTAATCACAATTCCTAGAGAAGCAGTGAGGGATACAACTGTTTTGGGGTATCGGCTTCCAAAGGTACAGATATCCTTTGTATTCCAATGTGATCTTTGGCCATGAGTTAAGGTCCTTGCAGTATTGTTTACCACTAAGCCCTTTTCCCTCCAGTTCAGGATGGATGGGTGTTGGTGATGGCACTGGCAGACAGCACTTCTCTCCTGCCACGCCCTCTGGCCTGTGACTTTTCTAATAAATGACTGACAATGCTTGCCAAAAGCCCAGTTTCACCCCAACTAAACCAGTGTTCTGTGAGAGTGCTGATGGTGTACTTTCCAAGAGCCTGTGATTTTAAACACTTTATAAGCATTTGAGCTCTTACACTTCCACAAGACCTCAGAGAAGACTTACCCGAAATGGACAGTGGTGTCCATAGGGAAGGTGCCACAGACTATTAATGCCAGGATATTGCCTGTCATGTGGACAACTGAGAGATGGGCTGTTTTCTTCATTGGTGATGTCTGAGACAACACTAAGCGTCTACTCCATTCACCTAGGACTTCTTTTTTTTTTATTTATCACCTCTTTGGCATCATATTTGAAATATAATGAAGATGTTTTCCCATAACCAGTTTCTTCTGAACTGCCACCTAACAGATTGGAAATAAAGGCACATGAAGGAATATAGCAGGGAAATCTCTGAGCCTGAAATAGTGAAGTTTCTTTGCTTATTTGTTTTTTGAGAAAAAGCCCTCAGAACTGCTTGAGATTGATTTTTTTTTTTCCCTAATAAAATAATCCTTCATTTCTGTGGCCTCTCCATGCGCAGAATTATAGCTGGAATTTGTTTGTGTCCTTTTCTTCTTGATGTCTGAGAGGCAGAACTGCACCAACAACATCTTCCTTTCAGGGCACTCTAATTATTGCAAACATAGACTCTACTCTTTTTGACCCTGACTACTGGGAGACCCCTCATCAGTTCAACCCTGGTCATTTCTTGGACAAGGATGGAAATTTTGTGACCCGAGAGGCCTTCTTAGCCTTCTCAGCAGGTAGGTGCACTGAGAACTGAGCCCGCCTGTGTGGCTTAGGTAAAGCTGTGTTATTTTGGCTGTGGAGAAGGACAAAGGGGAATGTAATTTCAAAGTACAGAAGCACATGGTTTTCCCAGGCCAGAAAAATGACTGACTGCCAAAAAAAAGTTGTTTGGTAAGTGTATAAACACTTGCTCTTAGATTTTTGTGAAAACGCAGAGAAGGTAAAAGGAGTAAGGCCCTAGAATTCCCAATCACTTGTGAACTTGAGTCCTTACACTGTTGTCCCTGGTCATCCTCTGCATGTGCCAGATTATGCTCTTACAGTGGCTGTTCTGTGGCAGGCTGCTGTGCTGGAGCTGATTTATTTTGTATAAATAGTACCATATTCATGAGTGCAGAAAGATGAATAGAAGATCTGGAAGCTGATCAAATACATCCCAGCTGGCTATGTCTTTCCTGTGGAGCTTCGGGAGTCACTCTTTCACCACCGTGGGAGTTTATAGAAGCTTAAACAAACAAAAACTCTTGAGTATCATGCAAGGAGGGAATAGCCTGGTTGTCAGAGCCCTCGGCAGAAATGTGAAAATGTCAGGCTCAGGTTTCTGGACTAAATTAGGCAGAAGAGCATTTTGAACATTGATTTCTCACATCCAAATTGAATGAGCTAACCACTACATTTCAGAGTTTGTCACTGTCTGTCTCTGGGAATTATGTCGTGCATGGAGTTAATTAATAAATTGGGAAAAGGTTTTTCTGTAACGAGTTTTTTTCACTGAAGACATTATGTGGGAAAATGTTTCATCAGGTGTAGAATGTCTCTTGTATTCTGTTTTTTTGCTGTTATTTGTGAAGATAAGTCAGCCTATACTAAGGGGAAGCTGTGAGGGGACCTAAAGATGCTTTCTTGTTTTTCTCATTTGGAATCAAGAGACTGAGAGTCCATTCATAGAACTGGGGAGTCCTATAGATTTAGGAAGCGAAGAAAGAAACTGCTGAGCAGCAAGCCTGGTATCTTTTTCTATAATCCAAGCAGGTCCTGCAGAGGTGGATTGCAGATCTCAATTGTTTGCCCAGTTCAATCTGAGAAGAAAACGTCAAATTCAGCAAAGCTCTTTGTTCCTTGATGAGGCTGAGCACAGCTCCTGTGAAAAGCTGGGAAGCAGGTGCTGGTTACAGACCTTACCAGGGACTGACTTCTCTTTCCCTTCACCCTCTGCAGGCCACCGTGTTTGTCTGGGAGAGGTGCTGGCCAAGATGGAGCTTTTCATCATCTTCTGCAGGCTGTTGCAGACATTCAAGTTCACTGCACCAGAAGGAGTTAAGGAAGTCAACACAGACTTTATCTTTGGGAGCACCATGAAACCCCATCCATATAAGCTCTGCGCTGTTCTGCGCTAGGTTGTAATGTATTAGAGATTTAAGAAAGAGGCATGGCCACAGGTTTGCTATGGCTTTCATTTTTAGCTCAAATTCAGTGTGAACCTATCCTTATTGTGTTACAAGTCTAAGGAACCAGCCCTGAAAAATACTCTGCTTTTCCCTGTTTCTGGAAAATGTCTGTACTTCTTTTTCTTTCTCTGCTGTGTTACCACTGAAATAAACATAGACAGTTGTCTAGTATTAATAAAATTCATCAGGAATCTTCCTGGAGGGTGAAGGAATATTAAAGTCAGGTGCTGAGGGGGCTTCCCACACGCTCTCAAATCCTGATGAATGGTAATGCTGTTCCCAGAGGTGGTGGCTCATTGCCAGAGTGCCTAGGCGTGGTTGCATGGGAATACAGAGAGTGGAGGGGCATCTCAACTGGCTGTGAGGCAGCTGCCTTTTCTGTTTAGCTGAGAGCCATGGGGAGATGATTGATTGAAACTGGAAGTAACAGAGGTACAACAGCACAGCCCTTCATTTGGATGTGAGGCTCCTGACTTGGGCTGAAAGCAAAGGCAAACTCCTATTCCCTACTGGAGAATTGCAAAGGGGAACCCCACTGCTGGTGAAACACAGTGGGTGTACATGGTAATGGAGCAGTGAGCTGGCCTGAAAATCCCATGAAAGAGGGAGTCCTCTCACACAGAAGGGTTTGCAATGACCATGATGTATAGCAGACTGAGGTGGCCATGTCTCTTTATTGATGCTGTGGGATGATGGATAGGGTTAAACCTACAGGGGATTCAGAATTTTATGATGAAAAGCAGCTGCAACTCCCTGGATGGACTGAAGTCAACGTTCTCCCCAGCACAATGATAAACATCTGCTCAGAGAAACAGAAGGGAGTGCGGAATGGAGACGACATGGCTCCCTCCATACTCATCCCAGCTGAATGGGAGAACACTGGGTTACTGAGACCATACAGTACCTGTCTGTTAAGGGAGAATCAGGATGTTATGCTGATGAAGCCAACAGCCATGTCAAACCCCCTCCTCAGATGCCAAACGACAACCAACCTTGCCACCCCCATTAGGTACACCAACCAGAAATAAAAGGTATTAATGACTAGAGCCATTCAAACTCCACCCAAACATAAAGAAAACAGAATAAAAGTAAGGTGGGATAGGGGAAAAGTGGGATAAGATCTCCACCGCAACTGCTGAGATCAGTCACCAGGCTGAGTCTATCTTCTCCCACATCATAGGGACGCTGGAGTTGAGAAATATACTCTACATGCATTAAATGCTGCTTTTAGAACTAGAGCTTTTGTTTGTTCTTACCCAATAGCATATTAGTAGATTGCTTCATATCAGAACTTGTGCTTACTGACTTACTCAGCCACTCCCCATATGATTTCTCTCTAGCTGTTGATATTTATCCCTGCCAGAGAGTATCTAAGAAGATGTGCTTTCCTATCATCACCTCTCAGGGTAGGGCCACAGGCAGGTGAGACAGGGAACATGTCCTGAAACCCTGTTATTAATGTGGGAGGTTGAGCTCCCTCTCTGAGTAGCTGCCTCCAGTACTTGCCTGGCCATGAGCTTTGGGAGTGGGAGGTGGGGATTATTCCTGAAGCTGAATTTGGGGCATAGAGTGTAAGTCATGGGGTGCAGACAAGTTGCCATGAGGCTGGTAGGGCACAAGCCATGGTGTGTTTCAGTTCCAAAGCCTAAGCAGAGGGCAAATGGATCCTCTTCTGAGAGCTGGAAGGGAGGAAGAGAAGAGAACAGGCCAGGAGCATTCCTGGGGAAAGGGAAAGCAGGAGGATTCACTGGTTAGAGGGATACCTTTCTGTTCTGCTGAGCTCTAACTCCTGCCTCTCCAAAGATTAAATTCTCACTCATGGAAGGTGAGAACTGAACTCATCTCATCTTACCAGGCTTCCCTCTTGCCGGTCCTCCAGAACCATCTTGTGTGGGGAGGAAAGCAATTTGTATTCCCTTTAGCGTCTCTTCCAAAGCCTCGGCAAAGCTGTTTGGCAGCTGCCTTTTTAAAGCAAGCAATTCACATCTAGGCTGCAAGGTACAGTCACCAGAATGTGGTTAATTTGTGTGGAAAAGTCAGAGTAAGTCTGGAGAGGCAGGGGAGATGCAGAGTAGCCAGCCAGGACCGTGCAGGGGCCAGATGGGACTGCGAGTGCCAGGGCAGGCAAGCCTCGGGGGCTGTGAGTGCCCTCTCAAGGAGAGTTTGGGAAATACCGAATTCAGAGTTGGCAGCAGTTTGAGACAGAGAAAGCACAACACCAGAAAGCAATTCAGTGGGATTAGCAGAGAGGCAGCTGGAGGAGGAGGAAGAAATGATGCTTTCTGCTTTGTCATGAAGATCGTGCAGCCCCACTTACCTGTGCAGCTGAACTGTCCACAGTGTGTGGACACCTGGGTGTTATGCCATTATAACCATCAAACTCCTGTTACCCAATGATGAAATTGAGTCTTTTTTGTTTTATGTGCCCCAGGCACAAAATTAGGAGGTTTGGTCAAAGACCTTGCACTACAGACCATAAGGAAAACCAAAATATGAAAGGAATAGCAGAGAACATCAGAATCAAACAATAATATGGGCAAGTGAAGGAGCGATGCACATGGTTGGTTCATTTGATGGCTACTGATCAGCCTGAACTTTCATTAGCCCCACCATCCTTGGATGTGAAAACCCTTTTTTTTATTTCTCTGTGTTTGCAAGAGGTTTTGTATGAAACCAGAATTGTGGGCAGAGATTTTTGTCACAGCAGCTGTGACCTACATTTTGCATCCCTTGAAGAAACACTGATTGACAGATTTATAGCTCAAATATAATGGAGTGATGTCATATAAGCTTGAAAATAAGAACAATTAAATCTCTGGGGTGGGGAATTAAAGGGATAAAGAGGATAAAGTGATAAAGAGGACAAATATAAAGTGATAAAGTGATAGAGAGGCACAGAAGTTTCAACATCTTTGTCACTTTTTAGGGAGGTACCAGCAAAACAAGATAAAGTGGATCTATCCTCTGCCTACACAGCAGCTGTCCAGAGACAAGGTTGCTGTGTAAATCAGAAGGGAAATGGTAACAGTAAGTGCGGTGCTGGTATTTTTTGTGGTGTCTCTGCTGCTTATACAGTTCCTGAAAGTGCAATGGATGCGAAGACGACTTCCTCCTGGACCAACTCCATACCCCTTCTTTGGAAACCTATTGCAGATGAACTTCAAAATTCACCATGAGCACCTTAAAAAAGTACGTATTTTCTGGCAATTAATAAATTGACTCATGGAAGGTGAGAACTGAATTCATCTCATCTTACCAGGCTTCCCTCTTGCCGGTCCTCCAGAACCATCTTGTGTGGGGAGGAAAGCAATTTGTATTCCCTTTAGCGTCTCTTCCAAAGCCTCGGCAAAGCTGTTTGGCAGCTGCCTTTTTAAAGCAAGCAGTTCACATCTAGGCTGCAAGGTACAGTCACCAGAATGTGGTTAATTTGTGTGGAAAAGTCAGAGTAAGTCTGGAGAGGCAGGGGAGATGCAGAGTAGCCAGCCAGGACCGTGCAGGGGCCAGATGGGACTGCAAGTGCCAGGGCAGGCAAGCCTCGGGGGCTGTGAGTGCCCTCTCTCAAGGAGCCTTTGGGAAATACCGAATTCAGAGTTGGCAGCAGTTTGAGATAGAGAAAGCACAACACCAGTGAAGGAACTATAAGTCATAGAAGCAGCCTCTGAAGTAAGTAACTCAGTTCTTCAGTTCGATGCCAGCTCTCAGTTCAATTGCTGGCCAGCAACATTGGGCAAATGTTCTCTCTGCCTCACTTCTGGGGTAAATCAACTTGCTTCACACCTCACAACTTTCATCTTTGGCTGTGCCAGCTCCATAAGTTTGGCATGTGAGCAGCAAGACCATCTAGGTGACTTCCCAGAATGCCACGTGCTCCTGTGTAAGTCAGATGAGCCGAGTCTAAGCTAGTGCTGTTCCTATGCAAGTGCCAAAGCTGTATTGTCTGGAATGTCCCACTTTGCAGAGCTGGATTTGCTGAGAGTGCTTGTGAAAGAAGCTCCAAGAGGTAGCTGTGCATGTTTACTCCTGCTGCAAGCAATTCAGTGGGATTAGCAGAGAGGCAGCTGGAGGAGGAGGAAGAAATGATGCTTTCTGCTTTGTCATGAAGACCGTGCAGCCCCACTTACCTGTGCAGCTGAACACAGAGTGTGGACACCTGGGTGTTACACCATTATAACCATCAAACTCCTGTTACCCAATGATGAAATTGAGTCTTTTTTGTTTTATGTGCCCCAGGCACAAAATTAGGAGGTTTGGTCAAAGACCTTGCACTACAGACCATAAGGAAAACCAAAATATGAAAGGAATAGCAGAGAACATCAGAATCAAACAATAATATGGGCAAGTGAAGGAGCGATGCACATGGTTGGTGCATTTGATGGCTACTGATCAGCCTGAACTTTCATTAGTCCCACCATCCTTGGGTGTGAAAACTCGTGGGAATTTTTTAAATTTCTCTGTTCTTGCAAGAGGTTTTGTATGAAACCAGAATTGCGGGCAGAGATTTTTTTCACAGCAGCTGTCATGGCACAAAGAAGTAAATAAGACAACTACATTTTGCATCCCTTGAAGAAACACTGATTGACAGATTTGTAGCTGCAATATAATGGAGCGATGTCATATACACTTGAAAATAATAACAATTAATTCTCTGGGGTGGAGAGTTAAAGTGATAAAGAGGATAAAGATAAAGGGATAAAGTGATAGAGAGGCACAGAAGTTTCAACATCTTTGTCACTTTTTAGGGGAGGTACCAGCAAAGCAAGATATAGTGGATCTATTCTCTGTCTACACAGCAGCTGTCCAGAGACAAGGTTGCTGTGTAAATCAGAAGGGAAATGGTAACAGTAAGTGCGGTGCTGGTATTTTTTGTGGTGTCTCTGCTGCTCTATACAGTTCCTGAAAGTGCAATGGATGCGAAGACGACTTCCTCCTGGACCAACTCCATACCCCTT